ATTTCTGACAGGTTCTGGATGTGTGTGTTCTCTTGGCTGCAGAGCATTCAGGGGGCTAGTCATTTTGGCACTAGTGTGTAGGGTGGGTCACTGGGGATTCCCAGGGCTGGGATTATACCCTGTCTTCATAGCCATTCGAATTGTAGGCCTTATACAGATAAGAGCACCAAGTGAGAAATAAAATGTGTGGTGGATGAAAAGCTGCACTGAATTGCTTTCAGTCCATTGTTGGTCTAGGGGAGCTTAAAGGGGATAAGAGGGTAGTAGGCCTCTTTGAAATTTACTTGAACAAGTGAATGGGAGCTCCTGGTAAAGCAGTCATGAAAAGAGCTCTGGCTGTTTTTTCCTGCTGTAACAATAGATAGTGCAGACTGTGAGGAGTTTGGGGAAGCTGGGCTGATTGGACTGCTGGGAGCCTCAAGCTTGGGGGGGGGGGCGGGAATTAGGATAGGGCAAGGGGGATGGGGTGGGCATCATATGTGGGCTTTACTACTCAAGGTTTGAGTTCATTAGACACCTAGGAAAAGCTGCCTTCTCCATTCTTGGTAGAACTGATTTTGTGTTGACATTTGCAAGAGTCCCAAGTAGAAGTTGAGATGAGGCTATATTTGTAGATTCTAAGGAGCAGCAAAGCGAGAGGAGCTGGAATTTAGAGCCAGAATTTAAAAAGAAAATCTTTTCCTTCTCCCCCAAGGCCCATTGGAAGAATGTTTTAATGGGGAATAAGCTTCCATATTGAAAGTGGTTGGGAATGTGGGTCTCCATACTGTGTAGATCAGTGAGCATGCTATTTTATGAGCCTCTTACTAGGAGAGTTCCAGCTTCTGAAGAAATGGCTTTTTAAAAGGTTCACTGCCAGTAAGTAGAACTAGGAAAATATAACAACTACAACAATGTAAATGGAAAGAAGAACAACAAAAAAAAAATCAAAACTGAATGCTGTGAAATTAGAATGACCAAGCTTGGCCCCAGAGAAGAAATAGGAGAATGTAGCTCCCCCTCCTCTCCTTGTAGAGGAGAGGGGGGACTATGGGTGTGGAACCCTGTATATAATGTTACACTTGGTTGATATGTGTTAGTTTGACTGAATTTTTTTTTGTTCTCTTTTGTTCTTTGTTTATAAGGATTAAGGCTCCCTGGGGGGGAGATATTTGGAAATGAAGATGATAGAAAAAAAAAAGATATCAATACAAATTTAAATTGGGGGAAAAAAAAAAGTTCACTGTCTAGAATCCCAGCAGCGGTCCTAAACTCCAGTCCTAGGGCTTTGGGGCAGAAAGATTGCAGTGTCATTCCAGGGGGTCTGAGTTTAGCTATGATAAAGTATAAAGTCTGACAATATCAGAGGCAGCAGACCCTTTTCTTTCCAAGTATGGCATGGACACTTAAAATTTGTCAAAAGCCAAGAAACCAAAGTATACTGCATTTAACCTTCTCTCCCTCTCTCTTTGGATTTTATATTCTGCATCAGCTCACTTCTTTGAGGGCGTGAGATCTAGGTGTCATATAAGGGAAAAGATGATTTCCATTCCTGGAAGGGGGGGAGGTATCTTTTTATTAGTATTATTTGCTTATATCTTATTTATGGATTGACTTTGGACACAAGGGAATGAAACTGAGCAAACTTCAAATATTACCTTATCTTACAAACCAGGCTTTTGATGTTGGCAAGATCACAAACTTGCTTCAGAATTGTTGCCAAATGAAGACGTGTGCGCAGGAGTCTGATATTTCAAAGCCACAGTCAAACCACATTCAGGTTAGGTCAGGCACAGCTGAGTCAAAAGGCTAAGCTAATTGGCTCGACTTAAATGGCATCTGACCAACCACACACTTCAAAACCAATGTTCCATAGAAACAGATTGACCGGGCACGAGGCTAGTTAGCTAAAATGTTTATAATTAACTCTACTATTTAGTGCCTAAAACTTGGTAGTTTTTCAGCCCGCAATCTTAACTGGCCAAGAAGACAGATCAGACATTTATGAACTGGACAAGAAGCTGACGGGAATGTGGGACTGTTTTGTAAGAAGATTCGCCTGGGAATTTATAGTCACATCTCCTTGGAGACTCTTCTAAAACCTATTTATTGAATTCACCATGTTACAACCTCTATTTTCTCCCTCACTGTCCAGCAGGAGTTACCTGAGGTTAAGCATCAAAACTGCAACAAATGCGATGATGCAGGGATTTTAAAAATCACTCATTCCTGATTCTCATAAATCTGGCAGTGACCTGATTTCTTCTCCTCCATCCTGCCCCTTTCATCGACATTCCTTTTTTTTTCTTGCCTTAAAGTGGCCTAGAGAGAAGAAAATAACATCAGAAACCAGAGTAACAAAACCACCTTCTCTATTCCATGTGGTTCAGGGGAAAGAGGGTCAGATCTGGGGTCACAGGACATCCTGGCTCTGTCACTTCTCTGGACATAAGTTTACTCATCTGTCAAATGAAGGGGTTGGTAATCATAGGTAGCATTTATACGGCACCTTAAGGTTTGCAAAGTGCCATACATAATCTCATTTGAACCTCATAAGGATGCTGTGAGTTGGGTACTATTGTTATCTCCATTTACAGATGAGGAAACTGAGACTGAGAGAGATTAAGTGACCTGCCTAGGGTTGTATAGCTAGTTTGTATGTGTCTGGTATAGGGTTAGAACTAGGGTTTAGTATCTGAAGTAGGATTAGAATTCAGGTCATCCTCAGTTCAAATCTAATATTCCATCCACCGTGCAACCTAGCTGCTCTTGTGATCCTGTGATCTTATGATCTCCATTGAAGAGGGGGAAAAGGGAGATTATGAGGTAAACAGAGTGGCTATTATGTACCCTTTGGAAACTTCAAGATAGTAGTGTTACATTTACAAAGAGCTGTACTCAACCAGTCATTAGATTGATAGCTAGCATGGGGTCTTCCAGGTAGAAAATACATGCTCTCGGAAAGGGATCTTTGAAACTAAAGACCAGAGATGGAATCCATTTATCAAATTGTTTTGGGCCAGCTTCATTACTTTTCATTCTAGGTTTTACCTACCTGTCTTCCTCTTTCTCCCAACAACTCCCAACTTGCAGGATGGGATGTTGTGGTGGCCACAGGTATCACTGGGACGGGATTTCATGAGCAATATTTACCCATTCTCATTCTCCAGGAAGCTTTTTGTTGCTCAGTTGTTTTTCAGTTGTATCTTTGTGACCCCTTTTTTGGGTTTTCTTGGTTTGTTTGTTTTTTTTTTAAGGCAATTGGGGTTAAGTGACTTGCCCAGGGTCACACAGCTAGTAAATGTCAAGTGTTTGGTCTGAGCCTGGATTTGAACTCAGGTCTTGTGACAGCAGGGCCGGTGCTCTATCCACTGCACCACCTAGCTGCCCCTTGGGGTTTTCTTGGCAGAGATACTGGAGTGGCTTGCCATTTCCTTCTCCAGCTCATTTGACAGATGAGGAAACTGAGGCAAACAGGGTTTAAGTACTTGCCCAGGGTCACACAGCTAGTAAGTCTGAGGCCAGATCTGAACTCGGGTCTTCCTGACTCCAGGCCCTGAACTTTATCCACTGTGCCACCTCACTACTCCAGGATGCTCCTACACAGGGGTGGGGAACCGTCAGCCTTGAGGGCATACGTGCCTCTCTAGGTCCTCAAGTTCAGACCTTTGGCTGAATCCATACTTCACGGAACAGATCCCCTTCATGAAAGGATTTGTTCTATAAAACTTGGACTCAGTCAAAAGAAAGGACCTAGAAGGCCACATGTGGCCTTGAGGCCACAGGTGCCCCAGCCACGTAACCACAGAATGTTGGAAGGGGCTTAAGCTAACATCTAGTTTTACCCTCCTGATTTGTAGATGAAGAAATTGAGATGCAAAGAGAGGTTAAGTGACTTGCAGGAAGTCACAGAAGTAGTAAATAGCAGCGTCAGAATTTGAACCCAAGTTCTTTGACTTTAAATTTCATATTCTTTCTACTATACTACAGTACTTGTGCAGGTCTCCTGATTCTGCGTTGTATTCAGTGCTGCATTGGGTAGAGTATTAGGAAGACATGAGTTTGAATTCTGTTTCAGACACTAACTGTGAGACCCTGGGCTCTACCATAACTCTCAGTTTTCTAATTTATGAAATGGAAATAATAGCCGCTACCTCACAGGGTTGTTGTGAGGATCAAATGATGTAAAACACTTAAAAACCTTATTGTGCTATGAGTGCTGACTATTATTTTTTTTTTAAGGCAGCTAGGTGGCACAGTAGATAGGGTACAGGTCCTGGAGTCAGGAAAACTCCTCCTCATGAGTTTAAATCCAGTTTTAGGCGCTAGCTGTGTGATCCTGGGCAAATCACAATCCTTTTTGCCTCAGTTTCCTCACCTGTAAAATGAGCTGAAGAAGGAAATGGCAAACCACTCCGGTATCTTTGTCAAGAAAACCCTAAATGGGGTCACAAAGAGACACAACTGACCAACAAATTTAATAAAACAAACAAAATGAAGGGAAATTATTCAAGTGATTTACAAGAGGGAGGAATTCAGAAGTGACAAGGAGTTTTGATGATTAAGTTCGTGATGTGTTCATTAAGTTCAAAATAAGTCTGCTAGTACCATGGTATCTCTTTTCAAATGTTCTTTAAGAGAATTTATCTCACAGTGCTACAGGAAAGAATTGGTGGTGATTGTTCACTATGGAATCATGGAATCAATCCTAGGGACTTTTTTAAATGTTAGGAAAAATTAATCATCTGTCTGGGACAGTTGAATGTAATCTGGACCTAAAGCAATGAGGCAGATGAATGAGTAGACCTCAGGAAATCTCCCTGTTTTAGGATTTAGTATCTCTGGTGAATTCATTTTGGGGTTCTTCAAAGATGATTGCTCTTAATTTTATTGTGGACTATGGCTCCATCAATTAGAAGCATCTTGGTGTGGTGGAGACGAGTGATTTTGGCCTTTTGGATGCTGATTTGTTGAATTGCCCCAATCTAACTCTGAACATTTGTATTTGCCTGACTTTCCAGAGATGGAATCCCTCCTTACAGAATGGGAAGCAAGAAACAGCTACAGAGAGAAATGCATCGCAGTGTAAAGGCCAATGGCCAAGTTTCTCTACCTCATTTCCCGGTGAGTACTAGATTGGAGGAGAAAGAAACTGCCATATCAGCCATGTGTTGGCTGAGCATTGTGTGAAAGGAGTGGGAGGAAAGGCATTCTGCTCTGAGATCTACCCAGGCTGAGGATATGAGGAGGTAAATTGGTTACAGCCTAGGCCCCTTGTGTGTTTGGTTGGGGGGCAGGGGGGTGTGCATGTGGAAGGGTAGGTTTTTTTTAAGTGGTAGTAAATGATGACCAAAGCTGCAGGCCTGCGAAATGCTCAATCAACCAATGAAGAATTAAGTGTCTACAATGTGCCAGGCACTGTGCTAAGCTCTGGAGATTAAAAAGACAAAAATGAAACAGTTCCAAGAGTTTACAGTGGATGTTACCTAAGTACTATAGTCCTACCAGAACCTCAAGAATAACTTTTTACATGAAAGTGTCTCACTCTTTTATGCAAACCAGAAGCAGTTTGCCTTTCTGCAAACAGAAACATTGGAGAGGGGATTGGTTAAAGAGTGAGGCTGGATCAGTACTCTTTAGTGTAGAGGTTCCCAACCTTTCAGTCCCTGCACTCCACCCCCCACACACTTAGCTTTCAGTAAATTTTTTCTGTATCCTTTGTCCAGTATGAAAGGAAATAAATTCTGGACTTCTTCATGCATAAGCACATAAGGAATAAAACAGAGATTGATTTCAATAGGATAATAGAGTTATAAAATATTCTCCATATTCCCTTGATAAACTTCTCATCCCTTCTCCAGGGGGGCATGAGCTAGCCCATTTGTGGGATGAGGTTAGGGACCTTTTTGCTTCTTGCAGAGTAGATGTAGTGTTTGGGGAAACCTGACTTTGAATGTGCTTGGTGAGGTCCCCCTGGCATCCCCAGGTGCATGTCTTCCTCAAAGCTACTTGCTTTTTTGGAGAGGAGGGGAGAAGGTCATGGCTGGATGAAACTTGTGGATTGTCTTCATTTCCAAGGCTTATCTAGTCTTCCCTCTTACAATTTTGCATTTTGTTACCCTGAGACTTTAGGGTTGGCAAGGAAGGCATTTGATCAGAGAGGAAAGAAAGTTCTCAATTTATAGCGAATGTCTGTTTCCAGATTCTTCCTACTAGCTTCAGAGATTCCAGTTAGCTCCAGTTATGTTGCTTTTAGAAAATTAACCCAGTGAATTGCTAATTCCGCAGAGTCCTTATGTGAGGTTGGTGTACTGTGAAAGCTGTTTACAAAGTTGGGTACAAACTTATCTTGTCTTAAAATGAACATACCAAGACTTTTTTTTTTAGCCTAGCTGTCTACACCAGCATCTTCTCTTCATCTCCCCCTGCCAGAAAAACCCCCAAAAACTCCAACCCTGAAAACAAAACAAAAAAAAGCAAAAAATAAAAACAACTCCAGATGATATTCTAGCTTTGCTCTGTGTGTGTGTGTGTGTATGTGTGTGTGTTTATATAAAGAAAAGTTCTATAGCCCAAGCTTGTAAATTAGATTATTTTGTCCTGGGGTGTGCAAATCGACTTTCTCCATAAGGCAGTGCTTTGATCAGGAGCTGAATAGAGCCAGCTTGTGTAAGAATGACAATTTCCAACAGAGTGGCCTTTTTCTCCCCTCACATCATTTCTCCAGCTAAGTGGTTGCCGTAGCGAGGCCTGTCTCATCTGGTGGGGAGGACGCTGGCCTTGGCAGCTTGGCTTTCTGCTTCAAAAGAGAGAGGGAGAAATTAGGGGGAGAGGGTAAGGAGGGTGGGGGGCTAGGAGTGAGGGGGAGGAGAGATAATAGGAAGCGGCTAGAGAACGCGGTGGTAGTGGGTGTTCTCCATGCTTGCTTCTTTTGGCAGGCATCCTTGCTGCCTTTTTATATTCTGTACTTGATTTGGAGATGTTCCCTTTTCCCTTGACAGATCAGCTTCAGGCAGCCAGACTCAGCAGTGTTCTGCTACCAGCCTGCAGCAGCTTTCTTCATTTTCTGTACAAAGAGATGGTAGGGGGGGTGGGGGGGTGGAAAAAAGAGAGAGATCTAGGACACTGTTGAGACAACACTACCTCAACACTACCGCCCAGTGTGCGGTCAGGAAATAAATTACCACTTCTTCTCTGATCTGGAGCAGTTTGACTCCTTTTTCCCCCCTTCCCAATCTTATTTTTTTAAATTTCCAACTCCTTCTGTTTAGACTCTACTTTTTATTCTTTGAGTTGGTTTCTCCCCTCCCCACCTCAGTGGGCTTTTTTTTTTTTTTTGATGTTTGACAACAGTCTTTGAAGATTTTCTACTTCAGAGTGGCTACTGATGGGCTGGTTGTACTACAGAGAGAACAAGCAGGGCTTCTCAGAGTGCGACCAACTGCTCCTGCCGAAGGCAAACGCTGGTGGGGACGATGGCTCTCCATGAGGCCACAGCACTGGCTCATAAAAATCCCAAGCAGCCTGCGCCTCGTTGTGATCGTCTTTTCATCCAAACATGGAGATGCAACGAGCGTAGTGGGGCCAGGGTAGCTCTGGCGAAGCCGCTGCCACCGTTTGCCCTGCCTGATAAACATGGCTTGTCCCTTCCTTCTTGGTATTTTGTAGAGAACCCACCGCCTGCCTAAGGAGATGACACCCATAGAACCGGCCATTTTTGCAGCTGAGTTGATCTCCCGGCTGGAGAAGCTAAAGAAAGAACAAGAAAGTTTGGACAGTCTGGAGGAGAGACTACAGCAAATCAAGGAGGTATGAGGCTTAGTTAGCTTCTCCCATGCTAGTTCTGCACTCACGAATTTTGTGTGTATGTATGTGTGTGTGTGTGTGTGTGTGTGTGTGTGTGTGCGCGCGCGCGCGCATGTGCATGCAGGTGCTACCCACCTCCTTTCTTCTTTTCTCATTCCTCCTACTCCTCGTCCCCACCCCGCTGACTTCCACGGGGCAGGAGGGATGATGGGAAATTGGGGTGGGAGGTGGGTGTAGCCAAATCAGATTTTCATTGGGAATGAGTTTTCTTTTCTAAGTTTGGAAGATCCTCGAGGGTTCATTCTCCCTGAGTTATATTAACTGCCCCAAGACTGAATGTATTATAAAGGGTATTTAAATGGGTTTCTTTAATCTCTAACCTCCCTCCCTGCCACTCACCTATACACATTACCTGGCTAACTGGATTCCTTTTCACTTCTTATTGTAACTTTCAGGATGAAGAGAAGGAAGGGTCAGAGTTGCCAGTCAGCACTCGGGAGGTAGCTGCACAGCACCCACTTTCCCTGTTACCATCTGGCAGCTATGAAGAAGACCCCCAAGCTATCTTAGATGACCACCTGTCAAGGGTGCTGAAGACTCCTGGCTGCCAGTCCCCAGGCGTGGGGCGGCACAGTCCCCGTTCCCATTCCCCTGACCACCATCACCACTATCATCCTCTACTCCAACCCGGTGGACGACTGCCGCCTCCAGCCATCTCCTCAGCTCTCTGCCCGCTTGGCAAAGGCTTTGTTACAAAGCAGATGACTAAACATGTATACCACCACTACATCCACCACCACACCATCCCTAAAACCAAGGAGCAGATTGAAGTGGAGGCAGCTCAGAAGGTGCAATGCTTCTGCCTTGGGGGCACGGATTATTATTTGTGCTCAAAATGCAAGAGTCACTCCAAGGGACCAGAGCTGGCACCAGTGGAGCAGTTCAGGTAAGTGCCGGGCACGCCATGGATTCTCCTTTTGGGACTGTCCTCCTGGCCAAAGCCCTGGTGAGATTCTGCAAAACTATTCCAAATTTTAGCCTCCCTTCTGTTACCTGACCTGGAGAGACATCAGGGTGGGCCCAGATGCATGAGTATCATCTGATTGACAATCTCCCCCACCCCCTACCTGCCTAGGTGTGCTAGTTCCCAGTTGACAAACTCCAAGAATCCTGGAAATTAACTGGATCTCTCTGGGTGGGGGGGTTGCTTCTCCTTGGTTCTTTTCCAGCAGCCGAGGTAATACCCTATCAAAGCGGAATGGGAAGGTGACAGAGCCTTGTTTGGCCTTGTCAGCCAAGGAAGGAGTCCCCGTCGGAACAGGGCTTCTTCAGCTACCTGGGAATGAGGGGGACCGGTCACAGAATGTCTGGCAGTGGGTGTTAGACAGTGAGAGACAGAACAAGCCCAAACCTCACAGGTAAGCCCCCAGCCCGGCACCATCCGGGTAGCCATTACAGGACTGGCTAATTTATGCAGTAAGCTGAAAACGCAGGATTGTTTCCTCCTGCCACCCTAATGTTATAAGTTGAACTAGACTATGGCAGGTTTCCTCCCCTCCAGTTCCCCTTTTCCTTTCTCTCTTCCTCTTCTCCTTCTATCCTTCCTTTCCCTCTCCCACCAGAATAGGAATTTCTCTTGAAGTAATATTGTGCTGTGTTTTAAAACTAATTCCTTTTTGCTTTTTCTCTGTTTTCCTCTCAGTGCCCAGAACACAAAAAAACCCTATCCTTTGGAGTCAGCCCGAGGAGCCGTTAGTGATCGAGCCACCCGCCCCCATCTGTGGGGGGGTAGCATCGGGCATTCCCGCACCATGCCACATACCCATCCCTTCACACAAGATTCTGGCATAGCCCCCCTAGGTCCCCCTAACACCCTCGCTCAGCTGGAGGAAGCTTGTCGTAGGTTGGCTGAAGTGTCCAAGCCCCAAAAGCAACGGTAAGTGGGAAAAGACAGTTGATTTGATAGGTTGGCTTTGCTGCCAGATGGGACCCTTTGCCCAGTCAAAAATTGTAATCACACTTTTATGACACTCTTAAAATTTGCAAAACACTTCACACACATGATCTTATTTGGTCTTCCCAACAAGCCTGTCAGATAGTCTCTGTTATTCCCATTTTACAGGTGAGGAAACTGAGGATGATAAGAGGTGAAGTGATTTGCCAGGCACACAGCTATTAAGTGCACAAGGTAGAATTCAAACCCAGGACTTCCAGACCCCAATCCAGGCCAAACTCCACTTCTTCATCCTTCCAGTCAAGTGGCGTCCCATGATAATCTAGCATTTATAGAGTACTTTAAGGTTTTCAGAGTGCTTTTCCTATATTTTATATTTCCTATATTAGCTCACAGCCCTGTGAGGTGAGGAGATACTATCATCATCCCTATTTTACAGATGGGGAAACTAGGGCTAAGAAAAGTTAGGTGACTTGCCCAAGGTCACTTGGCTAATAAATGTCTGAGGCAGGAGTTGAACTCAGATCTTCCTGACTCCAGGTCCCATCCTCACTTTCTTCTCCACCACTCTGAGCCAGGATTGAATTTAGTTTCTGACTGTCAGGAATCTTTGTGGGCTTCTAGCCTTTTCCCAACCTCCAGGGAAAGCATTGGCTAATTGTCAACTCCAGTGCTAACCAGGGTTTAATCTAATTCTTACAAGCACTCAGTAAACAACAGTTTAGTTGAAACTTTCCCAAAGATGGGGGATAGGGCTTAGATGATTCCTAGGAATCTTCCCTACCCTAACATTCCAAGAACAGCTTAAGTGAGATTGAGCCAATGAACACTGACCTGGCCAATAAGAGCATTCTGTTCCTTGATTAAAAAAAAAGCTAGTATTTATATGGCACTTTAAGGTTTGGAAGCAATTTTACATGCATTTGATCTTCACAATAACCTTAGGAGATAGGTACTATTGTTTTCATCATCTCCATTTTGTAGTTGCAGAAACTAAGGCTGAGAAAAGTTAAATAACTTGCTATAGCTATCAAGAGTCTGAGACAGGATTTGAACTTGGGACTTTGTTGACTCTCAATCTAGCATTCACTCATTCCACTACAACATCAGCCTATCACGTACTAACTGGCTAGGAGGTCCATTCTTATTCCTCTTAGTGCAAGTGTATGGGTAGGTTTTTTTCCTCCCAAAATCTCTAACACTAGGTAACACCAAGGCCTTAGGGTGGTTCCCAAAAGAATTTTAGCTTCATATCTTGGTATTTATGATCTGTGTGACCTTGAGTAAGTTTTTTAATTTCTCCAGGCTCGGTTTCCTCACCTGCAAAAAAACAAAATAAAAACAAAAAACCTCAGGGGTTGGGTTAGATGACCTTGAAAAAAATCCCTTTAGAGCTATGATCCTATAGGATCAAAGTAAGTTGGTTCCAACAAAAGTACATCTATAAATTCTTGTGTTATTTCTAATTTGGAGTCTGTTTAGAGTAAGAAGGAAAGGGAAGGGGAACAAACATTTATTAAGCACCTACTGTATTCCAGGGCTTGTGCTGAGCATTTTATAAATATTATCTTCTTTGATGCCTTACAACACCCCTAGGAGGTAGGTGCTATTATCTCCATTTAATAGTTGGGGAAACTGAGGCAAAGACTAAATGACTTGCTCAGGTAGTAAGCTAGTGTAAGTAAGTGTTTGAAGCTGAATTTGAACTCAGGTCTTCCTGACTCTAGATGTAGGACTCTAGCCACTGTGCCACCTAACTGCCCTACTACACTTTTATGATTCTAAAATGTGGCAAAAATGGTGATGAATTGTGCATCTGTGGGTGTGTCTCCTAGGTGCTGTACATCAAATCAGCAAAAGGATAAAAACCACTCTGCTGTTGGCCACATGGGGGGTGCCTCCTTCTGTAACCCCAGCCTAGTCCTAGAAGAGTAAGTGCACATAGCTAACAATGTTCTTCTAAATCTCTCTCTGTCTCTATTTTTTGTGTCATTGATTTCTTGAGAAGTTTGTTCACAGCTGAAGTTTAGTTTTTCACATGCTTTTTTTTTTTTTTTTTTGCCTATACTGTACATTCATGGGAGGAGTTGGGAAATGGAGGGAGGCATAGGTAATCAATCCCCAAACTGAGCCAGAAATTATTTCTGTCAGGCTTTATCTTTTCTGATTGTTTGGCTTATATTTCCAAGATACAAACCAATGGGGGTGGGAAGCATATGGGTTTGGATTGGAGCTAAGAGGTACTTGAGAAGCAGAAGAAAATCACACTTCTCTGGAAAATTGCCAAAAATGTAAATGTATAAGGTAGCTCCTCAAGAGAGCTGTAAGAGTGCGTATATTGCCTCTTCTAGCACAAAAGGGTTAGCTGGTTAAGAGGGATTGTACAGCCACCATACCTGGAAAAGGCAAGCTTTTTAAGCTTTTGCTCAGAGAACACAACCTTTTCCCAAGTCTTCCCTGTTTTTTTAAGTTTACTTTCTTGCAAAGTGGACAAAGAATATTGGATTAGTTTAATTACAGGATGGTTCTTTTAACAAGAACACTGATCTAAAGTCATCAAAGTAATTAACGTTTTCTTCCTTAGCCTTTTCAGCAATGAGTAATATTTAAAGTCCTGACTAGGCCCCCTGACTAGATGCTTTCATTTTTAATTGATTGACCTTAAGAAGAGTAGTTTTCTTAGCTTTTTTTTTTCCTGAGGCCACTCAACAAAACTTAATCCACAGTAATATAGTCTTCCAAATTTGCTCTCCCACTCTGACCTCCTAACACTATGAGCATATATATCTCTTCAGAAGTATCATTGGGCATGGCAGCATGGCATTCATTGTACTCACTGTGGTTTCTCCATTCTGTGGCCATATCTGGTCATCCTTGGAGAGAACTTTTCTGGCCATCCAGTTTATTTTAACTTGCTCTCTCTCTCTCATCAGAAGAGATTAGAGGAGGAGTCATAATGCAATTTAAGGATAAAAAAAAAATAGAAACATTTTCCTGTGTATCCCAACCTTACTTCCAAAAAGTGATCCAGTAGAAAACATGGGCCGTGTGCTATTGACTAAACAGATACAAAATGGCAGAAATTTTAAACACACCCTGTAGTGACTGCAATGGAAGAAGAATAATCAATAAGCAGCATTTGAAGATAATATTAAAACTTAGATGGTGACTGAATAACCCTAAAGCAGGGGTTCTTAACTTGGGGTCTTGTTTTTTATTTTTAGGCAGTTGGGGTTAAGTGACTTGCCCAGGGTCACACAGCTAGTAAGTGTCAAGTGTTTGGTCTGAGGCCGGATTTGAACTCAGGTCCTCCTGACTTCAAGTCCAGTGCTCTATCCACTTCCCCTCCTACCTGCCCGGGGTCTTATTTTTTTAAAAAAATATTTTTTAATTGTATTATAATATAATTGATTTACTTCTAAATTTATTTTATACATTTAAAAACATCCACCAGCCTGCTAGAGAAGGGTCCACAACAAAAAAAGGTCAAGAACCCCTGTCCTAAATAAGATTTTGACCAAAGAATGAATCACAGAAACAATAGCAATCATCTCTTTGGAAGCAACCTCTTCCCCAGAGAGACATATGGGTTCAGTCCTGACTTTGACCTTTGATACATTATGCTTCCAAGAGTCCCCTTAGACTCAAAGCTCTAGCCTGTCTCTGTCTCTGTCTGTCTCTCTCTGTCTCTGTCTGTCTCTGTCTCTGTCTCTCTCTCTCTCTGTCTCTGTCTCTGTCTCTCTCTCTCTCTCTCTCTCTCTCTCTCTCTCTCTGCCAAGGGTGCTTTCCCACCCTTCCCCTTTTCTCTTCTGCATTTGTTTATTTGCCCCAACCTGTTGCATTTCATTTTATTTCAGTCACAGAGAGCCAAAGAAACTGGCAAGTGTCCACTCCCTTCAGGCCAGTGAGCTGGTCGTCACTTACTTTTTCTGTGGAGAAGAAATTCCGTACAGGAGGATGTTGAAGGCGCAGAGTCTGACACTTGGCCACTTTAAAGAGCAGCTCAGCAAAAAGGGAAATTATAGGTAAGAATCTTGTGGCTTCTTTCTTCTTCAGGGTTTGTTTGCTTAGAACTAAGAGCCAGAGTCATGAGGAATCTTCCTCAGCCTGACTCTACCCACGAGGGGTAGGGGGAGGAGGGTGAAAGAGCGAGGAGATAAACTTAAAAATATTTTCTGAGGATACTGGGTTGCAAAATTTTGTGGAGGTGTTTAGGTTTCCCTCCTTTCTTCCTCTCCCTCTTTTCTCCTTGCCTCTGGGAGAAATGGCCTACTAGAAACAGGGAAGGGTATTGATAAATTTTCGTGGTTAATTGGGTTGCTTGAGCCTCATTTACCCTTTCTCCTAAGTGGGTAGGGTTCCTAGGAGCATAGATTTAAGGCTGAAAAGGGTCTTAAGGATTATCTTGTCCAGTCTCCTCATTTTGTAGATGAGGAAACTGAGGCCTAGAAAAGTTAATCGACTTACTCACATTCAAATAGGAAGAAGTTGCAGTCATAATTCAAACCCAGGACTTTCGATTCCAAATCTGGGGCTCTTTTTATTTTGCCGTTTCCTTTTCTTCTCAGGAAACTATAATATTCAGTCCTACTGTAAGGCCATTTGGAGCCTGTGATGGGTCATTTCTAAGGAACTTGTATTCTTTGATAGAAGGGAAAGTGTGTAGTAGGTTTGGGGGAGGGGAAGAGGATGGGTTACCCTTTCCACTCCAAAGGAAAAATGGACTGAGGCCATTACTCAGGAAATTGATGGAATTACCATGCCTGTAGACCAACCTTTTTGCCGTATGCACCTATAGAACTATTTCAACACTTTTCCTTTACTCGGAAGGCCAGAGTCACTTCAAGAATGTCTTCTTGTGTACTTATAGGCAGGTGTGGGTTTTGGGTAAGTCCACCTTTCCTATTCCTGTAAGTCCAAGCCCATGATCGTTTTGACTTCCATGTAGTAGGCTTTGGTTGCCTTCTCTTAATGTTATGGAGGTGCTCACAGACCCCCACAAATGTGAATGAAAATTTTCCCCACGACTTCCAAAATAACACAAAACTCATATAGGAATTCTGACTTCTCCTTCCCCCTTGTTTGTTTACATTCTAAGGCTTTTAGTCTCAGTGTTAGCTTTTTCTTGACTAACTGGACAATTAGCAGGATAACAATTCGTGCCTTGAAGAAGTCATCCTATTTTGGCAAAGTGCTGGTTCTTTTCCAGCTTCTAGCTTCATCAAGCATCTTGGCAGTAGGGTTTTAGCCATGCCTGCCCTGTGGTGAAAATAAGACCCCCTGATCCTCTGGGTGCAGGCTGGCTTTGGGGATAGGTCCCTTCTGGCTGAAGATGGACAGAGGCACTGAAATCATGGGAGGCGTCCAGACCAGGGCTTCATTTTGATTAGCCGCCATATGCCAGGCTTTCAGAGAAGCTATAGCAGTTTATTCTTTATAGTATTCCATAGGATAATTCCCAAGAGATTCCAGAGAATTTTTAAAAATTTGTTTATTTTTGGAGGTAGGAGAAACATGTAAATTATTGTTAAGCAAGATGTTTCTAGACTTAGACGTCTCCCCTTTTACACGTAGGTGGAGACAACACCAAATAGTTATAAAAGGAATTTTCGAATGTGTTGTGGTCCCCCCCTACTTTTTTTTTTTTATCTTGAACAGACATGAGGTGAAACTAATTACACAAATGTGTGCACCTCCAGGGATTCATTTTGATCTTAAGCTTTGACTTTTGGCTGGACTTTGAGTGAAACTGCAGGTGAACTTCAGGGGGAAAGGGGCCATTGAGTTCCGAGGAGCAAGCAGGGACTGGAGGAAAGACTAGCCCAGCAGCTTTGGTCACATCTGGCATTGATTTCTTTTTAAGGCACACTTAATAAGCATGTCTTTGAAGCCTTTGCCTTTCATTTAATGCACAAAGACTTGCACAAACGGTTGACTCTCAAATTCTTTATTGATTGGATCAGGCTGTAACCCAGGCCCTTCGAATCTGTCTTATCTCTGCTTTCCAGTTCCAAAGTCATTTATCCAGTTCCTTCTTTGGGTTGGGTTGTGGGGGGGTTAGGGAATTGTAGACATCCCCCCCCAACACCTCACGCCAACCCTTTGAAAACACTATATTAAGTACTGGAAACCAGAAAACAACAAAATACCACAAACTTACAAGGAGTAGGACTGGGGGGTGGGGGAAGTGTGGAGTGAGGGGGAACCTGGGCCCTGTTGAGTAATCTCAACATGGCAGGAGTTCAAAAACGGAACAGTAACTCCAGACTTGCCAGATGATATTGGTGCCAGATGTCAGAAAAAAACAAAGTTTGCCACATAAAACATGTTTCGGTGGAAAAAGCCCGTTTCTGCAAGAAAATGAGGGCAGGCAACATGTTTGAAGTTGTTGGAGGGGGAGGATGTTGCTGCCTTTCTCTCCTCTCTAAGATGAGGTGGCAATTATGTAAAAGAAGATGCAGAGCTTCAGACCAGATTTGTAAACATCAATGAGATTTGGAGATGGGTGGAGGGCCACTGGTGAGAGAGGACTTACCCTTCTGTTTAAAAGGGAGAAAGAGTGACTTTATCACCCCTATTTGTATTATAATTTTTTTTAAAAAGAGCTTTTTTTTTTGTTGTTCTGTACTTGAGAAACATCAGACTTAAGCAGTTCCACATACACAGAAATACAGAGGGGATTGTACACGAAACCACAAATCCCTATTACATACAGCTAGCCTTTTTAAAAAAGAATAAAATAAATACAGCACATTAGTTTCAAAGCAATCCGGCTTACATTTTAAAAGAATATAATAAACTCGACACATTAATTTCAAAGCTGTTCTGTTTGGCACTGTTGTCTTCTGAACCTCTCTCTGTTCTCCTTTATACAATTTTTTTTTAATGGTACAGTGACCCTCTTCATTTTTTTTTTTTTGCATCCATATTGTTAGCCCCTCCCTTGGTCCCAAATCCAGTTCCCCAAATTAGAAGAAAAAAAAAACCAACCCTCTCTTGTAACAAATAAGCATATTCAAGCAAAACAAATCCACACATTGGCTACCTCTGAAACTGTATGTCTTAATCCACCCTTTGATGTCCTCACCTCTCTGTCAGGCACACTACCCCCATTTGTTCACTGTCTTCTCTCTTGGGTTACCCCAAGGACTTGAGTTGTCCTATGTGAAATGTTTTTATAGGGTAGTGCTGTGCTGATGCTCTAATTCAGCTGGAAATGCTAAAAACAAGTACCTTGACTAAATGCAGCTGTTTCTCTTTACTCAGCCTTATCTCCCTTGAAAGCATTTGGCTTGCTTTTATGGGGGGGGGGGCAGAATCTTAACTGTAACTTGGGGAAAATTCATTCTTAAAAAAAAAAAAAACAACAAACCACAAACCCCAAGACAATAGATTATGTGGAGAAGGGAGGAGGGAAACTGCTCTTTTCTCCCTCCCTCCCCTAGAATACAGTGACCTTTAACCTGTCAGTGGTCTTTGTTGGTTGAAAATTACAGAGCACAAAGGGCAGCTTTTAATCTATTTGAGGGTCTCCTTTGCCAGTGATCAGATGGCAAAGTGCACTCACTTTTTGGTTTCTTTGGGAGAGTGGGGAGTGGGCAGCTGGAAGAAGAGTTGTTGCTGTAAATGTTAGCCCTTGGACCAGAGGCTAGTCATTTGCTCATATGCAATTAAACAGCCTTAGAAGGAAGAATGGTAGAATGGGATAAAAGGAACCTTTAATCAAGGAGCTGAACAGCCTAATTCAGCATAATAGAAGGGTCCTTTAGAGTTTGATACTTGGGGAAGAGTGGCACAGCTAGGGGAAAAGGAAGGTGGCTATATACGTAATGGCTTCATTGTCTGAGCAACCCTAAGTAAAGGGGGTATGTTACTGCCTAACACGTACTGTTTATCTGTGATTAGAGTACTTAGCAGATACCTTCATATGGCCATTGGAGATGGCATTCAGGGAGAGTAAATAAGATTTCTATACATGCCAACAGGCTAATAATAGGAATCTTCGTATAATGTCCCTTTCAGGAACCTTAGAGATGATTCGGTCTAACCTCCTCATTTTATAGATGAGAGAACTGAAGTGGCCGTAGAGGAAGGACATGACAATGCAAGTTAGTGCCAGAACTACTAGTATTAGATCTGGAGAGGCAATATGGTGTATTGAGAAGAGTGCTGTATTTGAAGTTAGAGGATCAAGGTTCAAATCCCAGCTGCGGCACTGTGCTACATGTGACATTGGACGAGTCACACATTGGGCCGTTGAACTAGATGACCTCTAAGGTCCCTTACAGTATAAAAGCAATAATCCTGTCATCCTGACTCAGACTTTTTATAGAACAGCTAAAGATGCTTCTGATTATAGTCCCTTTTGGACATCCTCCTAGCTGGGAGGAGGGGGTGGTATTGATCTTATCCTTTATGAAAATCTTTAAATTCTATTTTAAAAATCTGTGTCAAGTGACTGTTAATTTTAGGAATTGTTTTCCTCTTTACAAACAAACAATGTTTTAGGCAGATAGTGCTGGTAACTATGAGTTTGCATACACAGTTCCCAAGATGGACTTTGTAAATGATGGAATTTCATTTTTTCTCTTGCTGTTGTTCATGTTCTGCTTCTTAGTACTGTTGCTCCGTCTGTGGTCACCATCATAAATTGGCTGTTGGCAAAAGTTTATACTTTTGGTTTTTTTAAGGCAATTGGGGTTAAGTCACTTGCCTGGGGTCACACAGCTACTGAATGTCAAGTGTCTGGTTTGAGGCTGAATTTGAACTCAGGTCCTCCTGACTCCAGGGCCGGTGCTCTATCCACTATGCCACCTAGCTGCCCCTGCTGGTGTATTCTTTTAAGACATCTTGTCTCAATGAGACAAAATCTCATTCCTTCCCACCCCCCATCTGCTGTTAGCTGGATGGCTCATTCATCAAGCACCAAGTGCCTTCTGTGTGTGCCAGGCTCTCTGCCAGGTGCTAGAAATAAAAAGTGAAAGTTGTCCCTGATCTCAAAGTGCTTGTAGTTTAGCTAGGAAAAAATGTGTGTGTGTGTGTGTGTGTATGTGTGCATATGTGTATACATACATCCAGGATTATTATCAGAATCCACTCTGTGACTTGTTGGTTACCTCTCATTTTGTTCCTTACCTGGTTATCTTGTTTGTTCCTGTCATTCTTAGTTCTAGGATAATTCTAGGACCATGTTTGGATATTTTCTGATTAATCAGCTCAGGGCTCCCATCCCAGTTTATTAGATATTATTTAATAAACCAAAGAATTTGCTTATATCTCTCTTTATGCGGACACCCCTAATCTCCCAGGATTAGATTATTATTGACATTTCCAGCTATATAATTTATTAACAGTATAATCAACAATAACATGAAACCATAAATAACTATTTGCCATATTTTAGCTTTGAGAAAGGTCACAGCCAGAGTCACCCCTAACTATTACTGCAGTTGCAACTGCCAGTGATTTTTTACTTGTAGAAACATAATTCTACTTTTCAGTTCATCCATAGGTTAAGATAGTTCCATCAAGAGAGATCTTTTCATGTTCTTTCCCTCTATCTTCTCTCCAGCTGTGAAAGGAAAATTCCCTTTTTTTTTCCTCCCAAGCAGTGATTTCCACAATATTCTTTTAACCCTTAAAGCTACAGTAACTAGATCCTCTGTAGGAAAGGGTTTTGAAATGGATGTGACATATATACATATATACATCCACACATACATGCACACACAAAATATATTAAAAGTGATTGTAAATAGAAAGTAATAGCAGTTTATGGTGTCTGGAAAGGACTTGTGGAAAGTGGAACAGGAGCTGACCCTTGAAGGAAAGTAAGGTTTCCAAGTGATAGTGGAGGACAGCCAATAGAAAAGGATGGAGGTGAGAGCGGTGCTGCAGATGGAGCCATTTTTTGATTCATACTTTAAGAAAATCAGTTTGACAGATGTGGAAAGGCTAGATTGGAGAGGTGAGAGACCTTGGCAGTTAGAAGGCTATTGTAATAGTCCAGCTGAGAGGAGATGAGGGCTTGGTCTCAGTGGCGGCTATGTAGGTGGAGAAAACAGGTTGTATACTACCTACAGTGTGGGAAAAAAGATGGTAAGATTTGACAGATTGTGGGGTCAGTAGAGTGAGGAGTTGTGTATAACACAAAGATTTCAAAACTGATTAAAAGGATGGTGGTACCCGAGGGCAGCTATAAGGTGCAGTGGATGGAGTACCAGGCCTGGAGTCAGGAATACTCATCTTCCTGAGTTCAGATCTGAACCCAAATGCTTATTAGCTGTGTGACTCTGGGCAAGCCACTTAACCCTGTTTACCTCAATTTCCTTATCTGTAAAATGAGCTAGAGAAGGCAGTGGCAAACCACTCCAGTATTTTTGCCAGGAAAACCCCAAATGGGTTCACGAAGAGTTGACACAACTGAAAAGTGACTGAACAACAATAACACACTAGAAAAAATAGGAAGGTATAGAAAAAGGGTGGGTTTGGGAGAAAAGATAGTTATATTTTACATATGCTAAGTTTGAGATGTCTATGGGCCATGTAATTCAAAGTGTCCAGTAGGCAGTTGATGATATGAGACTGGAGCTTGTTCTCAGAAGGGAATCTAGGATTAGAAATATAGATCTGGGAGTCATCAGCATAGAAATGATAATTAAACCCATGTGAAATGTTGAAGTCATTGAGAGAGCTCTTTCATACCCATCCCCACCCACTTCAAACCTACTCCTCCATTGGGACACCCATTCTTGATCTTCCAGAGTGCCTTCTGGAATTTCCACCCTGCCCTGTGTACAACCCCCTCCCCCATAATAAATTTCCTTTCATTTTAAAACTTTTTGTCTCGTATTTCTTCCATTTTCTAGTACTTACTGAGACCAGGCTTCTGATTGCCACTGTACCCTTGACCATCCTTACCCGGTACTAGTTTGTCATTTCTCTCATATCCTCCTGTACCACCACCTTGTTTTCTCATCAACTCCCCCTAGAATGGGAGTCAGAATACTCCATTATCCCCGTTGTCACTTCCTTATTCTTCTGCTACTGCTGCCACCACTCAGCATTGTCTCCTACGTTCATTCTATCCAGATCTATCGTTCAGTTTTCTCATCACTTAACTCAGTCTCCCTCTCCACCTCAGTACTTGTCTTCAGCATGCATATTGATCTTCCTCATACTGAAATCTCGCATTTTATGAATCTACTAAATGCCTACAACCTGTTCCGTCACTCCACCTCACACAGCAATGGTTGTAAGCTAGATCTTGCCTTTGCATATGGGATCCTATTTCCATGATTAAGAACTCTTGAATTCCTTCACCTGGTCATAATATCCTATCACTCTTTCCTTATGCCTTACTATTCCTGAAACCTATTCTTTGCCTTCACTGTGATCTCCATTTCCTCCAACTGTCAGCACTTTTCCACACTGTCACCCTTATTTTGGCAATATTTTCTTCCCTTCCCAGTCTCCCTTTGGTGCAGCAATTCAACTCTGCACTGCTCTCAGTTCTCTTCCATTGTTCTTTTGTCCTGTCACCACTAACAACCTGCCAGATGGGAACCCTGAATTACTCCTGTAATTTGCTTCTTCCACTGCTATTGCTGAATGGCAATGGTGGAAGTCATGTGAGTGGACTGGATTCACTACAGATGTCTTATCTGATCTGTACTGGACCTTCAGTGAAGCAAGGCGGATCTTTTGCTCCTTCCTAAGTGAGTCTCACTACCCCCATTGTCTATTACGTATTGTCTCTGACCTCTCCACTAAGGATCTCATCTCGTACTTTATGGAGAAAGTACAGACCATTTTCTGTGAGCCTCCATCTTTTCCCCTTCTCATTTCACAACCTTTTGATATACCATCTTTCCTTTACTCCGGTCTGGTAAAGAAGTGACTATTCTCACCAAGCTCAGACACTGGAATCTGTGTGGGCACAGGGAACAGTCAAGGATGACACTGAGATTATATGAGAATGATGGTGGTACCCTCAACAGTAATAGAGGAAGTCTGGACATACTACATGTATACCAGGACCTATCGCCTCCCATCTTACGCTACTCATAGCCCTTGTAAATCTCCCCTCTATCTATTCATTTTTTACCTTTCTAAGGTTTCCAATCCTGCTACCTACAAATATGTCCAAATATTTCCCATCCTTAAAAAGCCCTTACCAGATCCTACTATCTCCACTAGCTATTGTCCTCTCTCTTCCCTTTCTCAGCCAACCTGCTAGAAAAAGTCATCAGGACATGGTACCACTAACTTCTTTCTTTTCACTCTTTTCTGTACCCTCACCAGTGGCTTCCATCCTCATCACCCTACTGAAATTGCTTCTCTTGAAAGCTACCAGTGATCTCTTAATGGAAAATCTAAGGGCATTTTTTAATCCTAACCCTTCATGATCCCTCAGCAGCATTTGGCACTGTTGATCACTCTCTCCTCCTACATACTTTTTCCTCTGGGTTTTTGTGACACCACTCTCTTCCTATTCTCCTGGGTATTTGACTGATCCTTCTCAATTTCCTTTGCTGAAGTCCCTTAACTATAAATATTCCCCAAGCCTCTATCCTGGGTCTTCTCTATGTTTTCTTGGTGACTTCATTAGTTCCCATGGATTTAATAGTCTATGCAAATAACTCCCAGATCTATAACATATATTCTTATTGTCTCATTTGAACTCAAATCCTGCCTATTGGAGATTTCATCCTGGATATCCTGAAGGCATCTCAAACTCATCATGTCCAAAAGAGAATACATTATCTTTCCCTTCAAACTGCCCCTTCTTCCAGATTTCTCTATCACTGTTGAGGGTACCACCATCCTTGCAGTATAACCTTGGAGTCATCCTTGACTCTTCCTTTTCCCTATGCCAGCATATCCAATGAGTTACCAAATCTTGTCATTTTATCTCCACAATGTAGCTAGTCTATGGCCCGATCTTTATATTTACACAGACCATCATGTTTCAGCCTCTCACTTCTAGCCTAGACTGTTTCGATAGCCTGCTAATTGATCTACTTAATTCTCTAGTTTCTCCCCATTCTATTCCATCCTCTACCCCAGCTACCAAAATGATTTTCCTAAAAAGCAGATCTGGCATGTTGTAAGCTACTCAGTACTAACTCAATAAATTCTAGTGGCTCCCTCTTACCTTTAGAATAAACGATAAACCCTCATTCAGTTAAAGTTCTTCACAAGCTGTTCCCATTCTGCTTTTCCAGATTTATACATTACTACTCTCTTATACCCTGTGGTCCATCTATATCAGACTATTTATCACAGATGGCCCTCCACCTGTCTCTCTGCCTTTGTGCTGATTGTCCACTATGCCTGAAATGTATTCTATTTCTTAGAATCTTAGATTTCATTCAAGATATATGTCTTCATGTAATTTCTTCTATTAGAAGGTAAACTCCTTGAGGGATTGTGACTTTTTTTTGTCTATAATCTCCAGTACTTAGCATAGTTCCTGTCACGTAGTAGGAACTCAATAAGTGCTGCTTGATTAAGGGTTATTGTAGAAAGGGTAGTAGATTTGGAACTGGAAGACCTGGGCTCAAATCCTGAGTCTGCCACTTTACTACCTCTATAACCTTTGGTAAGTCACTTAAATCAGGGATTCTTAGCCTGGCGTTAAGATTTCAAGGTGTCTGTGAATTTGGATGGGGGAAAATGACATCTTTATTTTCACTAACCTCTAACTGAAATTTAGCATTTCCTTCAATTATGAATTTAAGTGAAATTATTTTGAGAAGTAATCCATAAGGTTCACTATCACTCCCAAAGAGGTCCATAAAGGGGAGAATCCCAGAAAAGTCTCTAGGGCTTTACTGTCCTCATGTTTGAAGTGAGGAAGTTGGATTAGACATTCTCCAAAGGCCTGTCCTGCTCTAAAATCTATAATGCTGTGAATCCCCAAAATGCCATTTCATTGAATGCTTTTGTGTTTTTTTTTTTTCTTTTCAGGTATTATTTCAAAAAAGCAAGTGACGAATTTGACTGTGGGGCTGTTTTTGAAGAGATTTGGGAAGATGATACCATACTCCCAATGTATGAAGGAAGGATTCTGGGGAAAGTAGAAAGAATTGATTAATTTTTATTTTGGTGGTGGCGGGTAGTAATGGAAACAACTTTTTGCATCTGTTTCTTAAGCTAAAAATATCTGTCTTGGAAATGACAAAAAAAAGGATATTTTGAAGGAAAATTGAATCAATGAAGAAGAAAGAAATCTAGGAAGACTTGGAAAGTCAGCCTTCGTTATTCACTGGGTACGGAAATAAGAAAAAGCCCTGAACTATTTATTAAAAAGATGACCACTCTTGGCTATTGAAGATGCAAACCATTTTTGAGAGACTTCCTTACATATCACTTCCTAGAGATCTGAAATCCATAAACTAAGAAAAACTGTATAGCTTCCCTGAACAGGAATCCTTACTGATATTTATTGATCCTGGTATTTCCTTTTACATCCAGTTAATGGATATGCTGCTTTAACAGTGGAGAGGGGAAAGAGGAACTTTGTTCTTTAGTTGTCCTATTCAAATGTAGGAGTTTAGCTCGGAGTGAATTAATGATTTCTGTCATTTAAAAGGAATTATGCTTTGCCCAGTATTTCTCTAAGTGAAGTTAGACTGTTTTAATGGTGCCCTACTATGAGAGGCAGCATGGTAGAGTGGAAAGAGAGCTGGCCTCAGAGCCAGGTGGACCTGGGTTTAAGTCCTGACTCTGACACATCCTGGCTGTGTGACCTCAAGCAAGTCACTTAACCTCTCAGTGCCCCAGGCAGCCCTCTAAGACTTTAAGCTGCAGAGAAGGTGTCAGCCTGCTTTGGTAGAGGAAGTTCCTCATTTGGGAGTTCTCTATACCAATGAAATCACAGGTTTAGCCCCTATTCCTTTCCCTGTACTATTAATACACATAAAAATTGGTGAACTAAAAAAATCTATGCTGCTCTAACTTGTGATAAAGATCTTAATGTTTAAATATGATGCATTATCACTATAACACAAGAACAGTATTTGACTGGAGAATTTGTGTAGCACGGGTGCTGTGAGGATCTTATAGCCGAGATCCCTGGTATGGTCAGTGCCCGACTCCCTAGTTGGATGGTCTGAGTGATTTTCTCCATGAGATTCTGTGTACTTCCTGCCCCGCCCCACCATCCAGAGGACCCAGTCATATATAAGAGAAAATAAGCGCATGCCACGTAGCTAGCTTATGTAGGAGGTGATTTTAGCATGCCCTCTATTAGAAGTGCAGCGTCTTCAAGACCTTCACGTCCAGGGGAAGATTCAGACTTTCTATTGAAGTCTTCACTCCTTCCCTTTCTGTCCCAGGCCTGAGCCTCACTCCTTCCCGGTGCTCCCCTGCCTCCACCCTGCAGCCCCACCCCCACTACAGACCTCAGAGGAAACTGCACCAAAATTCAGAAACAGTTCTTTCACACATCGCACCCCTGCAGCCCCCAAATAAAAAGGGTGGATGCAAACCCAGAAGCAGCACCTCCTTCCCCAAGAGTCCTTCATTTTGATGTTTGGGTTTTTCGTGTTAAGTTAATGTGTGCATTCTGTTTGTCATTACTACCTTGTACTGTAAGTCTGTATATATTGTATGGTGAAAGATTATTAATACACTATCTCTAGTGTTTGAAATGGAATCAGTACAGTACCTGTGCCTGCATGGTGGGTTATACCGTGTATCGCCCTATATTGAGGGCTCATCTTTCCCTTGTTTTTTGAAAGGGGTTTATGTATAAATATATTTTATGCCTTTTTATTACAAGTCTTATACTCATGACTTTTGCCATGGCGTTTTGTTCTACTTACACTGTAAATTATGCATTATAAAGAGTTTCATTTAAGGAAAATTACTTGGTACGATAATTATTGTAATTAAGAGATGTAGCCTTTATTAAAGTTTTATATTTTTCAAATTAGCATTGTGTCTAAATTCTTGGTGGGAGGGAAGGAACATCATAATTTTCAAAACGTTATTCTCCATATCATGCTGTTTGGCTATTATTATCCTGTGGTCTTATCAGGTTGAGTTTATCTTGAAATTATATTAGATCTGTGACCAGCTTTACTCTGATGGGTCTGTGTTCTCATCAGTGTGATATGAACTCCCTCCAGCAATTCAGATTGAGCTTTTAAAATTGTGACTCTTGTCCATTTCTTAGAAGCCCTCCATGGTGAGGAGGTTGGGGTGCAACATTCTGAACTTGTCCATGGCAGAAATGGTGGGGTGCAACATTCTACAGGCCTTCCCTCTAGATGTTAATAATAACTAATGTGGCACTATGTGCTAGGCATTGTGCTAAGCACTTCACTACCTCCTGGTGGAGGTAGGTGCTATTATTTTCCCCATATTACAGATGAAGAAACTGAGGCAAACAGGTTAAGTGACTTGGCCAAGATCACACAGCTAGTAAGTGTCAGAGGCTGGATTTGAACCTGGGTCTACCTGACTCCGGACTCAACGTTTTATCCATTGCACCACCTAGCTGCCTCATCTCTAGCATTGCATAGACAGCAGGAGAACACACAGGTTGACCCATTAGTTAACCCTCATCCTCAGTAATATGACTGGCCCCTTTTCTTTTCAAGTCATATGTCTTTCTGAAGGTATCTTTTACCAGCTTTGTAGGTAACGTGTTACAGGAATCCCTGGTTTCCTTTAAGATAACTCAAGTGCCTCCTTGAGCCTTTCCATTGACATTTTGGTGACACCTAACTTAAAAGTTATTGGATTAAAAGTTACTCGGCAGAATGTTATTGTTAGCAAAGATAGACCTTTGTTTCAGGAAGAAATTCAGAGTCATTAAAACCAATAGACAATTTCCCCAAAGCAATCTGTCCTACTTCCCTTATTGTTGACCTCTCTGCAACATTGGGCACTTGAGTACCCTCTTCTCTCTGGGCTTTAGTGATACGGTGGTCTCCTCGTTCTATCTAAAACCTCAGCCAACTTGGCAGGATCATCATCCTAGCCCTACTGCCTGTGCATGGGTGTTCTATTTCCTGCTTCTATTCCCAAGTTTCTATTTCCTGCTTTGCCTCTGCTGCTCTTGTTCTGTCTCTTCCCTACCCCTGTGGGCATCTCAAATTGAACACTTCCAAAGCAGAACCCATCTTTTCCTGCAAAGCTTCTCCTCTTCCTAATTTTCCCAACATTCTTCTAGTCCCCCAACTTTGCAACCTCTGAATCATCCTTGACTTTTTCTTTCTCATCAAAGGGTCATTTCCCACTCATAATCATAATCCTAGTTCAGGCCCTGATCACCTTTCACCTGAGCTATTGCAATGACTCTAATCCATCCTTACACAGATACTCAATTGATATTCTGAAAATGCAAATGTGGGCATATCATTCACCTTCTCAAGAAATTCCAATGGCCCCTTATTTCCTCTGGCTTTTGAAGCCAAAATCTAGCTTGAGCCATCTTTTTAGGGCTTCTTTCACATTACTTTCCTTCATGCACGCTTTTCCAGCCACACTGGCCTGCTTTCTGTTTGCAATATGTGCAATATGCAACATCTCTCTTCACTCCATGCCTTTGCACAAAATACCCCTCATGCCTGGAATGAATGTCTGTCTTATCTTGGCGCCATGAAATCATTGGCTTTTTTTTCAAGTGGACAGTGTTCATGGCAACTCCAGGAAACCTATAGTGGTACCATCCTGTTGCTACTGCCCTCTTGCCCCACTCTCTGAGTTACTCTGTTTATATTTTGAATTTAATTTTCTTCTTACGTTTAGTTTTCCTCCCAATAGAACAGAATAGACCAATAGAGAATAACCCTCTTGGGGGAAGGAACTCTTGGTTTTTGTCTATCTTCCCCAGTGCAAGCACAGTGCTTGATGTAGTGTAAATGCTTATCAAATTGAATTTCCTCATGAGTAATTCTAGCTCATTGTACACCCAAAATGTTTAAGATATATGTATTGATAGACTAGCTTAGTGGTTTATCCAAATACATATTAATCCCAAACTTTGTTGTTCGATCATTTTACAGTAATGTCTGACTCTTCATGACTCCTTTGGGGGTTTTCTTGACAAAGATGCTGGAGTAGTTTGCCATTTCTTTCTTCAGTTCATTTCACAGTTGAGGAAACTGAGTTAAGCAGGGTGAAGTGACTCGTCCAGAATCACATAGCTAGTGAGTGTCTTAGGCCAGATTTGAACTCAGCTCTTCATGACTCTAGGCCCAATGTTTTATCATCCGTACCACCTAGCTGCCCCAATCTCAAACAAGATGACGTATTTTTTCATTGATTTGGCTTCTCCTGGGTAGTTTGGTCGAACTCTGGGTAATGTTGGATCTCATTTAAGAGGCTCTGCAATCTTCTTAGGCTTGATGTACTTAGCACAATATCATCTACAAGCGTGAGCATTTTGAGAATTTTGCTATCTATGAGGAATCCCTCTTGCATTTGGACTGAATGCTGGACATTATAATAGCAGCGAGCACTTAGGAAAACATGTCTGTCTGTTTTTTACTTGGCTAGAAAATAGAGGATTGTTAAAAAAAATTAATTTAGTTTTGTGGAATCATTATTTTGCATTTGCGTAGGAGACATCTTGTTGGATATTACTAGGTATTTTGCTCTACTAAAATAAGTAAAGTGGGATCTTGCATCCTCTATACTTTTCAGTCAGTTGTATGACTACAATGATGTGGTCTATAATAGGATATCATAAAAGTCTACCTCATCCCTTTCTATACTTTCATTAAGTCTTTATTTTTTTCTCATAGAAATTTTGTAAAGATAGGAGAGTCATGTCAGTCAGTAGTTACTCTTTTGCCTTTTTTAATAAAAAAAGGTTCAAGATTTTTCCAAGCCTTTAGCATCCATCCCTGTCTTGGCTTCCTTGAGACTCAATCTTAATACTCTTTCATTGTCGTTCAGTTGTGTCTGACTCTTCATGACCTCATTGGAGGTTTTCGTGGCAAAGACACTGGAGTGTTTTGTCATTTCTTTCTCCAGCTCATTTTACAGATGAGGAAACTGGGGCAAGGAGGGTTAAGTGACTTGCCCAGGGTCACAGAGCTAGTAAGTATCTGAGGCCGGGTTTGAAATCAGAAAGATGAGTTTTCCTGACTCCAGGCCCATCACTCTATCCACTGCACCACCTAGCTGCTCATCAATGCCCTTAGGATTGTGTTAGCTTCAGTACAACCTTGCTTCTGATATACTTTTCTTTGTCCAGCTGCTCTTCCTTTTTTTTTTTTAAGTGGCATTTACACCTCATGCAGCATATAAGAACTGTGATGTTAAGATTCCAAATGAGGTTGTTCTTCCATCACTGATACTTTATCATAGAAACCTTTACAGATCTTTTCCTTTCCGCACCTGTTTGTCATTCTTCTAATTTCTTCCTTAAATTCCCCCTGGGTTTATTTAGCTTAGTTGGGTCTCGCACAAAGCTGTTTTAAAAACTTGTTTTTCTCTCAATCAGCTCTTGTTTTTTGAGGTGATTTTACTCATGATCATCCTCCATAAAATATTACAAATGCATTTACATTTTAAACCTGTGTTGCCCTTGGCTACCATATTTCTGTGCTTGACAAGCCAGTAAAGTATGTGCTTGACCATGCAGTCAAAAATAGGTTTTTCTGATTTCCTTTGTGTGGTGATCATAGTTTCAATTGGTTAACTTCTGTAGGAAATGGCAATGATCTGTGGTAATGTCACTTCACTTATCTGTTTCTAACTTTTCGGC